TCTTTGATCCATTTTGAAATTAATTTTTATGTATGTTGTGAGTCCCAGCTTCTCTGGAGACTAAGGTGGGAGGATCAGTTGAGCCCAGGAAGCCCAGGCTGGAGTGAGCCATGATGGGGCCACTCCACTCTAGTCTGGATGACAGAGTGAAACCTTGTCTAAAAAAAATAAATAAAATAACCTCATTAGAGATTAGAGAAACAAGTATGACAGTAGCTTTCCATATTTTTTCTTTGTTATATGTACACATTTATATTATATGCTCACCACTATGATCTTTTCTCTGGGTTCATTAATTATATATGCATATCATTGAAATTTAATTTTATAATTTAATCTTCAAGAAACAGAACATTTGGTGGACCTGCGAGGAATTTTGAGGAGTAGTAAGAACGGTCAGTGATGTATACAATAACTATTGGAACTGTACTCTCCTATTCTGTGTAGAGGGTGCTAACTTCTTCAGATACAAGGAAGAAGGCTGTAGTTTGATAGAAATAGAAAGTTGTCACATAGTTTCATGTAAGTCCTAATAAGTGTTGAAGGGTACTGATGGAAACTCAGGAGTCAAATGGTGGATGGCTGTCCCTTTCCTTTCTCTTTGTAGGTGAATGGATTTACTTTCTCATGGAGCAAAGCCTGTTTGAGACGTTTTTTTAAAAAGTCCCATAACCAAATGAGGAATATGTTCACCTTGTTGACTCACAGAGGATACAAATCACACACAAGCAGATGGGGATTCACAGCTGCAAATGTTTTCATCTGCTGTCGAGGGAGTGTGGAGGTTGAGTGAGTGGAAAGAACTATATGAGAGAGACACAAAGAGGGCAGGGGAGGGAGATCAAGTCAGAAGAAGCAGAGGTACCTACCTGGAACTCAGACTTTTTTTTTTTTTTTTTTTTTGATGGAGCCTTGCTCTGTCACCCAGGCTGGAGTGCGTTGGTGCGATCTCGGCTCACTGCAAGCTCCCCTCCCAGGTTCAAGTGATTCTCCTGCCTCAGCCTCCCAGGTAGCTGGGATTACAGGTATGCACCACCATGCCCAGCTAATTTTTTTTTTAATCTAGTAGAGACAGGGTTTCGCTATGTTGGTCAAGCTGGTCTCGAACTCCTGACCTCAGATGATCCACCCACCTTGGCCTCCTAAAGTACTGGGATTACAGGTTTGAGCCACTGCGCCCAGCCATGATGTTCTTTTCAGAAGTGGCATTTTGAGTGTCCTGATTTGGAGAGTTGTTGTGACTGCTGAGCTAGGACAGAGGGAAGAAGGGAACAGCTGCAGGAGGGTGAGCAGCAGGGAGGAGGGGCATTTGTCTCCCCATACATCTTGGAAGGTTCTTCTCCCACACTCTTTAAACCCTCATTTCTTCTCCAAAGCTCAGCTCACACATTGCTCCCCAGAAAGGCTGCACTCATGACAATGGCCTTTCTCTCCCTTCTCTTGATCCCCTCTGTGCTTACCCCTCTGCCCCACCTTTGCCACATCCTGTTCCCTTTCAGAGTCAGTGGCTTCCTTCTGTCTCATCCAGTGAACTGTGAGCTCCCTAGGAAAAGCAATAGTCTTACCCTTGTTTTTCACCCTCAATATCTATAGATACGCCACATAGAAAGCCACACACAGAAGACAGGTGGATTTGCAAATGCTTGGATAACAAATTATTTCAGAGGTACAGTAAGGGAACAAAATGGCTTTGCAGAGGGGGCATCCGAGTGTACCTTTGAAGAGTAGTTCTTGGGAATTCCCCAGGTGGTCACCAGTGATTGAGGCAAAGTTCTCCAGGCAGCAGACCATAGAGAAGCTGCCCACTTACAGTGTTAGTGTCACCTCCTCTTTGAGGGCTGATGGTACCATTGGTGAAGGCTGTTTGTGCTCAACCTGGGAGTTTGCGCTTGGCCAGGGAGCTTCACCAGGATAAGCTGTGTCAAGAAACAGGATCTTGGTTTTGAGGTCTCTCTCCAAAGCTAGTACAACCTCTCTGCTAGAATTTGCAAAGGATAAGGACTTTGTGGTTCCCTCATAGACTGGATTTAAGGGATATGTGTTGCCTAAGCCTCATCTTCTTCTTATTATTATTATTATACTTTAAGTTCTAGGGTACATGTGCACAACGTGCAGGTTTGTTACATATGTATACATGCGCCATGTTGGTGTGCTGCACCTGTTAACTCGTCATTTACATCAGGCATATCTCCTAATGCTATCCCTCCCCCGTCCCCCCACCCCATGACAGGCCCTGGTGTGTGACTTCCTGTGTCCAAGTATTCTCATTGTTCAATTCCCACCTATGAGTGAGAATATGCAGTGTTTGGTTTTCTGCCCTTGCAATAGTTTTCTGAGAATGATGGTTTCCAGCTTCATCCATGTCCCTACAAAGAACATGAACTTACCCTTTTTTATGGCTGCATAGTATTTCATGGTGTATATGTGCCACATTTTCTTAATCCAGTTTATCATTGATGGGCATTTGGGTTGGTTCCAAGTCTTGGCTATTGTGAATAGAGACACAATAAACATACGTGTGCATGTGTCTTTATAGTAGCATGATTTATAATCCTTTGGGTATATACCCAGTAATGGGATCGCTGGGTGAAATGGTATTTCTAGTTCTAAATCCTTGAGGAATCGCCACACTGTCTTCTACAATGGTTGAACTAGTTTACAGTCCACCAACAGTGTAAAAGTGTTTCTATTTCTCCACATCCTCTCCAGCACCTGTTGTTTCCTGACTTTTTAATGATCTCTATTCTTACTAGCATGAGATGGTATCTCATTGTGGTTTTGATTTGCATTTCTCTGATGGCCAGTGATGATGAGCATTTTTTTCATGTGTCTGTAGGCTGCATAAATGTCTTCTTTTGAGAATTGTCTGTTCATATCTTTTGCCCACTTTTTGATATGGTTGATTTTTTCTTGTACATTTGTTTGAGTTCTTTGTAGATTCGGATATTAGCCCTTTGTCTGGTGGGTACATTGTAAAAATTTTCTCCCATTCTGTAGGTTGCCTGTTCACTCTGATGGTAGTTTCTTTTGCTGTGCAGAAGCTCTTTAGTTTAATTAGATCTCATTTGTCAATTTTGGCTTTTGTTGCCATTGCTTTTGGTGTTTTAGACATGAAGTCCTTGCCCATGCCTACGGCCTGAATGGTATTGCCTAGGTTTTCTTCTAGGGTTTTTATGGTTTTAGGTCTAACATTTAAGCCTTTAATCCATCGCCTAAGCCTCATCTTCAAAGTGACCCAGCAGTGACATTGTTCCTTTTCACTCTGTAAGTTGCATATCTCACCTGCATTGTGGTCCAGGAGTCTCAGGTCACCATCCCCACCATGGCCAGTTGCCTGGTGTCCCCAGGCGGAAACTGATCATCAGGGGACCTTGGAGGTAGGAAAATTATTAAAGAAATCCAAGAGCAGGACTGTAACAAGAAAGTGTGGAGGAGGGAGAGAGGACAACTGGAGAGCCAGGAGGGCCTCTGAGACCAGAGAGAGAATGCAGGGATGGGAGGGACAGAGGGACAGAGTCTTCATCCACTGAGATGGGTGGAGGCCCTGTCTGTGCCCTGCCTGTGTTGGGGTCCCCCTCTCAGGAGGTTTCTTCTGCACCACCAGTCACCCCTACCCTGTCTACTGACCCATGGCAGAAACAGCAGATGCGACTGGGGTGCACTGAGGCAGGTGGGAACCAAAGGACCAGGGACAGTAGGCGCCACACTAAGCAGGATCAAGGAGAGCTGAAGAAGGAGGTGGGAGTTGTTGTTAGAGGAGGGTGTGAAGTGGTTGGGATGAAAGAGACCAGGAGGAGCAGCAGGACCTGAGACCCTCCCTCTGCACACAGCCTTTCTCTGTTGGGCTCAGGCCCTGGCAACAGCCCATTATTTACTTCCCCCAACCCTTGCTCAGGCTCAGCCAATCCCTGCTGCACTGAAGTTCTCTCGCCCAGTGTTGTTCCTGACAGTAAATTGTAAGAAGGAGTAGTGCTCACCGAGGGGCCTAACCTGCCCTGGGTCTTTGCACATAGAACTTATTAGCAGCCCTCAGTGTATTAGTGAAGTGGCTTCTCTTACTATCTTGACGCAAGAAAAGAGGTACAAAGAAGCGGGTTGAACTTGCCCAAGATCACACAACCAGCTTGTGGCCCAGCTGGCCTTTGAGCTCGGGCACCTCACTCCACATTCTCTGACACATTCTGGTCCCTCTGACTTCTTCCCATCTGAGGCTCCCTGCTCTGCGCTCACATGCTCCCTCTTACTTGATGTTCAGGAGCACAGACTTCCAGCAGAGAGCCAAGGAAATGGAACCAGCCAGGTGGGGAAGCACTGAGTGTAAATCCCAGGCTTCTTTCCAAGTCCAGGCCTTTTCTGGCAGATATGAGCAGCAAGACCAGGGTAGCCAGAGGCAAGCTCGGCTGGGCGGGAACTCCCTGAATAGCCAAGAACCCCTGGGATTCTTCCAGGGGTCAGCCCGGTCCTGTCCTGTGCCAGGTAGGAGGCACTGGGCATCTGGGCACTCATAGCCTCCCTTAGCACAGAAGACTGAACCAGTAAGGCCACATGCTGGGCACAGGTCCCCATTTTCAGAGGATGGAGTCAGCCCTGTTGGGGCTGCTCCTGTGTCTACCTCCTTCAGGCTCCCTCATTATCCAAACAGCAATTCCACACCTGGGAATTTGCTAAAGGAGAGAATGAAAGGCCCAGGGCATTTCTGTGGTCCCTACTAACCATCCTTTGGTTCTCTTGCTCTGTGTGTTCCTCATCTTCAAATTAGAAGCTAAAGATGGACAAGGCTGGTAGCAGAGTGTGCAGGTCTCCTGGCCAGCCCTATATTTACTCCTCTCTCCAGGCAGAGTGGCCAGTGCCACTCGCTCAGGCAGCAGTCACGTGAGGTCCATCCTCTGGGAAGGCCCTCCCTGATGATCCCTCTGTGATTCTGACCAAAGGATGCCTGCAGTGCCCAGAGTCCCAGGTGGAGCAGAATCGGCCATGAGAATAAGCTTGGTTCCGAGGTCTTTCTGCTGTTATGTCTGTAATTACTAAACTTTTTTCATATAATTGCATTTTTCAAACATATGAGGATTACAAAAAAATAACAGGTAAACAGAAGTGCCATTTTGCTTCCATGGCTCTGACCCCCTAAGGGGCAGGAAAGCAAGAGACCTTATTCCTGGTATCAAAATGGCATGGCTGGAGTTCAGGTGGGCTGATGGGAAGCTGTGCATCCTGTAGCACCCTGGAATGGCTGAAATTAAGTCCTTTATGTGGAAAAATTGACTCATGAAATAGCCCGCCCATAGGGACATGGGAGCAAGATGTCCTTCAGGCCCCCAAACCTCTTCTGAGCCTCTTTGCCTGCAGACAGCTGGGCGGGCGTGTCTGACCATCCCATGTGGCCAGGGTCCATCTGCAGCAGTTGTGGATTGAGACCTGTGTCCTTGTCCGTGCTGATTTGAGAGGGATTGGAGGGAGGCTGCGGTGTCTTTGTCTTCTTCCCCAGTGTTAGCCACTGCAATGGCAGGGGGAGGAGGTGGTAGGCTGAGAGCACGGACAATGCAAAGGCAGTCATGGCTGATTGCTAGAGGGAAAGATGAAGGAGACATTAACTCTTCTCCTGAGGCCCAAGTCAGAACAGATATTTTTCAGGTGTTGAGCATGCATGTGCCTCACTTGGGTGTGGGCAGCATTTCTGATTGAACAGAGCCACAGCGCTTGATGCAGGTTTACGTGAGCCCCAGTTTCACCAGGGGGTCTTCTCTCCTCCCTCCTCGGATGTCTCATGGCTCCATCTGCACTCTTAGTGGCCTGGTCTTTCTCTGAGACAATTTCAGGCTGGTTCCCCTGCTTTGCTATCCCCCACAACCTCTCCCACACCATTGCCCAGCTCCCAAGAGCTCATTGTGGCTGAGGAAAGGGGGTGCCTTGACATGGAGTTCCCTTCACATGAGGGTCCCAGAACACTCCTCCTGGAAGTGCTCCACCAGGACCCCTGCCACACGCGCCTCTTGGTGCAGGGAGGGGAAGAGAGCAGGTCGTGTCCGATGTGGGTGTGTCTGTGTGCAATGGCTGCTTGTATCCTTGTGTGTTGTGTACCTGCTCAGCAAACACCTCCAGTTAACTGAGGGCCCAAGTGATCCTTCTGATCAGGTACGGCCCTGGAGGAAGTGCAGGAGATGGGCCTTCTCTTTTTGCCTTGGGGGGTCCAATTTCCCAGGATCACTTTGTCCTGTGGCCAAGAATGATCCTGGGCAAAACAGCACATTTAACCCAAGTTTGATTTCAACTCAACACTTTCCCATTGTGCCTCCCTCTCATCCCAAATGTGCCAAATACATCTAGTCTAATCTTAGTATTTACTCTTTGCCTTGTCTGTCAGGTCCTGTTCTCTATGAGTGAATATCCTAATGACCATAATAAAATCAGTTCCCTTTTTGGGGACTGACCTTTGCTGAGAACTGTCTCTATGAATGCTGTCTTGCCGCAAAACTTCACCTCTGGATAAAGTGGCTGTGCTCCTTGTGGGTGTCTGCATCGGGGCTGCTGAGGCACCGCTGAGAATGCACCACACAGCTGACTACGCTGCTGAGCATATCTCATTACCAAACGCACGTCCCTTTCAAGGATGCCAGGCCATTAGGGCTGCATTGCCACCTTGATGGACACTGGGGATTAATGCCTGTGTGTCCTTTTCCATTAAAATGTTTGATTTTATTGAATTACTGGTATAATGATAAATACATTAATATCATATAATTCAACTTTTTTTTCTCTTGACTTTGAAAGAAATTGACACTCTTTCGTAGGCCTGTAAGTTTCCTGGTCACTGTGCCCATCCTGCCCATGGCTAAGGGGTCCTAGCAGCAAGCCTCTTTGTGACTGGTCCCTACACTCTCCCACTCTGCCCTGAGATTTTTTTCTGAAAGGAATCTCCCTGCACAGAGGGTAGAGCTGGAGATCTCCATGTCCTGGGGTGGCTCCCAGGTCACCACTGCCCAGCATGTCTCTGTCTGCTGACAGGACTCTGCTTTCTTAACTCCTTAATGGAGTTCCTGGAGTTGGAGGGAAGCGCTTCCCACCAGAAACCCAATTGTGTCGGTTTTTCTTCCATTTGAAACAAATGATCAAAGTGATAGCGTTTTCTATGTTACATGTCTGTCTCTGGTCACTTAAAAACAAAACAGCAGGGAGTCTCCCTGACAGCCCAGGAGAACAGGAAGGCAGCCCTGGGGTAACCTGTCAAGGTTCAGATCATGACCCCCAGCATCGGCCACGGCTGGGTGACATCCTCATTCCCCAGGGGACAGGCAATCCCCTCCTCATCCCACAGCTCAGACCCCAGGATGGCCCCCAATCCCTGTGCCCGGAGCTCCTCCTCCTTCCCCTTTCCATCCCAGGCTTGCCCCTAGCCAGCTCTGAAATAGGCCGTCCCTGGAGGACAGGGAGGGGTCCAGCCTGGGACCCGGCCTGAGCTGGGAGGAGGCACTCGTCCTGCCCCGGCCCCTGTGATGAGTCCCCTCTTACCCGACAGGTGGTGACTCCCCTTCCGCGGCTGACCCCGAGTCCCCACCGGTCTGTCCTCCAGGGCCCAGCACAGGAGCACCCTTTATCCCTTGGTGGCCTGATCCTGCGGATCCTCTACCAACTGCCCCCGAGTGACCAAGACAGCTCAGTCTGGAGTCCTGAGTACCCAGGGCGACCTAAAAGTCCCAACTCCCCGAGACAGGGGACTCTGGGACTGGGGCTTTGTCAGTTTAATGGATTCCGTCTCTAGGAATCAACTGCCGCGAGATTCTGATTGGCTGAGCCGCGTGTCCCCGTGACCAATTGAACTGCCCACCTGGGTCTTCCAGCTGCCTGTCAAACATACAGCCCTGTGGGTTCCCCGAGGAGGAATAGCCAAGAGGGAGGCTACATTCCCCTGAGGGAACTAGGTCCAGATTGCAGAAGGGTCTTGAAGTCTCAAACATTCTGAGCAGAGCAGGTCCCAGAACCCAGAGCTTCTGATGGCGGGCTTCTGTGCCAACCACATTAACTCTTCATTCCCTTCTTCCCTCAGTCCCTAACAACCAGCATTCTATTTTTTGTCTTTATTTTGACTAAGTACGTAGATTCCATATAAGTGGAATCATATGATATTTTTCTTTTTGTGACTGGCTTATTTCACTTAGCATAATATCTTCAAGTTTTAGCATAGCATATTACAGAATTTCTAAGGGTGAGTAATATCCCATTGTATGGATACACCACATTTTGCTTATCCATTCATCCACTGATGGATAATTGGATTTTTCCATGTTTTAGCTACTGCTATGAACAAAAGTGTACAAATATCTCTTTGAAACCCTGCTTTCAATTCTTTCGAGTAGATACCCAGAAGTATAATTACTAGATTATATGGTAATTCTATTTTTAATGTTTTAAGGAACCACCATACTGCTTTCCTCCACAGCGATGCCATTTCACATTCCCACAAACAGTGCACAAATGTTCCAATTTCTCCACATCCTCACAAGATTTGTTATTTTCTGTGTGTGTTTTTTAAATAGTAGCCATCCTAATGAGTGTGAAGTGGTATCTTGCTACAGTTTTGATTTGCATTTCCCTAATGATTAGTGATACAGAGTATCTTTTCAAATGCTTATTGGTCATTTGTATATCTTCTTTGGAGAAACGTCTACAAAAGTCCTTTGCTCATTTTCAAATCAGGTTTTTTGTTGTTGAGTTTGGAATGCTGGCTTTTTTGTGTATTTCTTGATTTGGTGCTGGTTACACAAGTGAGTTGAGGTTGTGAAAATTTTTCAAGGGCCAGGAGCTGTGGCTCATGCCTGTAATTCCAGCACTTTGGGAGGCCAAAGTGGGTGGATTACCTGAGGTCAGGAGTTTGAGACCAGCCTGGCCAATATGGAGAAACCACATCTCTACTAAAAATACAAAAAATTAGCCAGGCATGGTGGCAGGCACCTGTAATCCCAGTTACTCGGGAGGCTGAGGCAAGAGAATCGCTTGAACCCAGGAGGCAGAGGTTGCAATGAGCCAAGAATGCAACAGTGCACTCCGGCCTGGGTAACAAGAGCAAAACTCTGTCTCAAAAAAATAAATAAATAAATAAAACAAAAGAAAAATTATCAAGATGGATGCTTATGACATTTGCAATTTTCTGTGTGTGTATAATACTGTTACATATAACACACATATATAATACTTCAATAAAAGTTAAAATAATACATTAAAAAATAAGAAATGGGAGGGAAGGAGGGAGGCAGGGAGAAATTGAAGGAAAGAGGGAGGAAACACCAGGCAGAAGCTGTATCCTCTTGAGCTAACCTTAGAAGTCACCTAGAATCACTTCCACCGCACTTCACTGCCTGGAGAAGCCACAAGTTTTCATCCAGATTGATGGGGAGGGAAACTAGACCCCACCTTTCAGGAAGAGGAATGTTAATCACATTGCAAGAAGAGCAGGTGGCATGGAACAAATGTAGAGATGTGTCCATCTTAGGAAAATACGATCTGTCCTGGGAGTATAGGGGAGGTGGAAAGTGGTGGTAAGGTAGCTAAAAGTGCAGGCTCTCTCCGGCCCCAGCCCTAGACAACCCAATTCAGTCTGTCTGCAGGGAAACTGAGGGAATCTGTACTTTCATAGGATGCGGCTGGCATGCACATGCAGTGGGTGACGCTTTAGAATGACTGTCACAGGAATTGAGGGTTTGAATTCTGGAGTTTGAGGAACTCTCTTGGACAAGTCCATTAACTTTGATTACTCTCAGCTTCCTCAGCCACGAAACTGGGATCATGGTTCCTGTACCATAGGTGTATCATAAGGATTGAAATAGCGTACTTAAAGGGCTTAGTGGAGTGCCTTGCATGGAGAAGGTGCTCCACAGATGGTATTATTATTGTTAGCCTTGTTTTTAAATTATGGGAATAGACCTGCCTGAAAAATTAGAGCACTAACAGCCCATTCTGGAGTTCTCAGGACACCAAGTCTCCATCAGACTCTGCCTTCGCATCTGGAGGCCAGCTGGAAGGCCAAATTGCTTTGGTGACAGGGAGAGGGTTGCATGGCTGTCAGTGACTCTTGAGGCTAAGAAGGTGCAACAGGCTTGCTTATGGACCCCACAGTTGGAAAGTGGAAGTGTCAGGTAAAGCCCAGGGATCCTGGGACCCCGACTTGTGTTCCACTGCTGGTCTCCTTCCCTCAAGTGCCCAGCTGGCCTCAGGTTTCCTCTTGTTGAATGAGGCTTGTTGCCAGCTTCCTCACTCACCCTGGGGAAGCAGAAAGTCTCAAAATGCAGGGAGGCAGTGTGGGCAGGAAGGGCATCTCCTGTCACAGTGGCTCATGCCTACATAGGCATAGGGGACTCTTGCAGGAACACAGTATCAGGAGAGCTGGTGCCTTGATCCAGAAACCAGTGGAAAGAAACATTTACTTATAGAAGCTACGCAAACATACCTTTCATCACACCACTCTCCAGCTCCCTAATCCTCAATGGCTCCCCTGTGCCTTAAGAAAATCTAACTGTGGACCTTATAAGAGAAAAACATACCTAAGCCCTCCAACCCAGGAAAAATAAACCAAGTACTCTCCTTTAAGCACATCCCCAGCCCTCCTGTCTTTGTTCCCAGCTTCTCCCTACTGTCCTTCTTGCTCAGATCTTATTGTCATTGCCATTGCAATGACAGTAAGTTCCATTCTCTCTTCTTTCCACCCTCTACTGGCCACTGTGGCTCCAGAGTGAACTCCTCACATCTTCCTCTGAATTATTCTAGAGTAACTCTGTAGCAGTCATCCACAGTAGGTCCCACAGCATCAGTAGGAAAAGCTGGTTTTTGTCTCCCTTTGAAGACTTTTCTGTCAGTCTGTCTGAGATTTTTCTAATTCCCTGCAACTCCTGTTTAAAAACTGTTTCCCCCAATTGACTCATACAGTGCTCAAGTTGTACATGAGCCAATGCAGATTTCAGAAATCCTATTGTCATGGGATCCTTTTGGTGTTGCATCACCAGCTGGAAACCTCGTGGCCGGCAGTGCCTCTACTTGAATATTGCTCATACCCACTAGGTTCATTCCACCCATTCCACCCATTCAGCCTGGAAGGCTGTGCTCAGCTTGCACTACCAGCCCAGATCCCATGTCTGCGGGGGGCAAGCCAGATGCAGAAAGGTGAAGGGTGTGTGAGTGAGCAAGTGCGGGGTGTGGTCACTTCGCACAGCCAGGAATGCCAGCTGCCACAGCAGGGCAGGCAGCTCCAGGCACCGGCACAGGTGCTGGCTCCATGCAAGGCTGCGGCTGGAGCAGGCATACTGCAAGCGGCTTCTCCTGCAATTGCCAGCATCTGGATGAAGGGAATGTGGTGGCTCCTGAAAACCTGGAGATGCCAGCAACTGCAGATCCTCTATGGGTTTGGGGTGCATGTTACAGCTGTCTCATTCCCACTGTCTGCAGCATGGCAGCATGGCAACTGGCAGGGGGAGGCAATGTGTTTCAGCCCGTTTGTGTTACAGCTTGTTTAGTCCCATCACCCCCACTCCAGCCCACAGCTCCTGGGCTGGCCTGCCCCACCACTGCTTCCTGTCACATGGGGCAGTCACCCAACCCTGGTGGAGGGCGAGAGGGATATAGGGTTACAGCTCTGGCTTGGGAATCCTGAGGTCTGGGTCCCCAGAAGGGTCTCCACTCTTCACGCCCAGTTTGGTGAACAGGGAAGCA